TTTTCTGCGATTAATCGCATTGTTATGCACAAAATTCAATAATGAATTCAAGAGTATTGCGCACTTTTATTTTAAGAGTACTGCTATATGAACAAAAGTGCAATAACATTTTGTTTGTAAAGACTCATTCAATCATTATGTGCAATAACTCGTCTGGATTGGCATTTTAAAGGCCCCGGTTTTTTTCTTTTCTTCATCAAATCGAGGAGCATAAAGTTCCATTTTAAATGTACTTTTCCTTTTTGAAATACAAAAAGTTCCATCAATTAAGAAATTGTTTTCCACTAATTGTTTTTACTTAATATCTAACAATATTAAAACATTTACAAAAAGGAATGTTATGTGGAGGAAAAGTGGGTGCATTTGGTCATTAGCTTTTGTTCAGCATTTTCTTGGCATAAAAGTCCCTACAGGTTTCACAGCACCGCTGGTACCACCTCATGTCCTGACAGAGGTTCTTGTCTCGGATCACACGACAGTACACTGTCCACTGGTCCCCCATGCATTTGTAGGTCAGAGCAGCTGGGGGTGAGAAGGCAGCGAGTCAATGTGCGGCATCACAATTTCACAATCCTCCAAACTAAACGACTAAATACTGCAAAATACCAATACTAGCGGCTTGTCACTGTGTGACAGAGTGGTTGAGAACACAATAACACCTTACAAAGCACTAAACATGTTTTTTAAATGTTTGTTTAAGCCAGACTTCCATCTTCTACCTGCAAGAGTACCGAGTAGTAGTATGTAGAATAAACCAAGTATGGGGGAAAATGGTGTTGAGTCAATTTAACATGTGGCATGTGATTTGTATGGTTATATAGTTAGTATGTAATTTAGGTCTTTTGTCTTGATTTTACTGTTTGTTTACTGATAAAAGTAACCTTATACTACTAACCTTTTTCTAGATGAGTCTTGGATGACCCTGAAAGAAACATTGTTAGGGCTACAGATAGATGCTGGAAGGCCAATTTAAAAGATAGATGTCAGTGTAGCTACTTGCACATGGCATTAAATTATATTACGTTACTATGAGTTATAGTAACAGTTAACAGTCATGTTAACAGTTGTTATTGTTTTTTCACTGATGCAGTTACATTTCCATGAAATGGTATTTTGATTAATTTTAGATATCAATTTGAGCTGATTCATCCACATTCATTCATATTAAGGCATTACAACAACAACAATAATAACAATAACAGCAATAACAACAAGTCAAACTGAAATTAGTTTTGTCCATGCCAAATAGGACAGTGGACACGTTTAATTTTATGAAAATTGTGTATTTATGAGAAAAGCCTCACATTTCTAGCATAAACCATAATGTTTATTCATTGATGTGGAGGGAAGTCAGATTTGACTTGAGGACCATGAGAGATCAAATGAAATAAAAAAATTTATTTTTCATTATTTTATAATTTAACCCTTATTTAATCAGGTAAGCCCCGTTGAAGTAAACAATCTCTTTTACAAGGGCGACCTGCCCAAGTCTGCAGCATAACAAGTTATACAACAGCAACAATAGAACACATAGAAGAACTACATTCATGTGTTGAAGTATTAAAATACCTATGCATGCACAAGTACCAACTTTTTTATTTAACTTAAAAATCAGGCAGAGTGAACAAATCTCCTCAAAACCTTGTTTTTGAAGGGTATTCCAAGTGAGGAGAGAACATATAAACATTTTCCTTCAGTTCAGTCTGTGACTTGGAACAGACCACACGACCAAATCCTGTGATCTCAGACAATAACTACAGACAGATTTCAATGCAATCAAAGTGCAACTGTGGGTTGGGAGTTTACCCAGAACGGCTTTATAAATGAAATAGACTACCAATGACTAATCCTACAACGGGTCAGAGATGGCCAAGCAGGAGTAAAGCGTACAATGTGTAACAAATCCCAGTACACTTTGAGATTAAGTATCTAACCTGTGCAGACAATGTGCGTATTGTATTCGTTTGTTTCTGCACTGTACTTTGGCTCTGGTTTATGCTCTTAGATGCTTGTTTAAAAAAGGAGATGCACTTATGACTTCTGGTGACTAATAGTTCTCTTGAATACCTATGTTGAATACACTTATTGTAAGTAGCTTGGTTAATATGACAAGCTGCTCATTATTTCACTTGTCTCTTTGGTCAGAGGTCTTCGGTTATAAATTGTACTCTTGCAGATAAATAAGGCAACCTTAACCTTTCAACCTCACTGTAGAACAGAGTTGTGACAAATGTCTCACCTAGCCTGGGGGAGGTGATGGTGTTCACATTGACTTTGTCATTGCAGGTACCATGGTGACAGGGTCGGTAGGTGGGTGGTCTAAGCATCACTGAGCAGTCATTACCATGCCGACCAGTCAGTTTGTGCATACACTGGACCACTCGCGACTGCAGGCCCTTCCCACAGGATGACGAGCACTGAAACAGTCAATTAAAAGTGTCAGTTCTCCTTGCTCATACTGTGACTCTTTAGAAGTTGTCCATTTTAATTTAGTTTATTTTGCACAATTTAAACAATAAAATAAAAATAAACAAACATACCAGAGATACATAATATCACAGTGCAGGAAGAGGCAAAAAGCCAACTGGGCTTATTTGAAGCCTCCACCTATATAATATTACAATTTTACAATATTGCAGAGAACATAAAATTAATATGCATAAGATATGACTACGTACAATATTGTTGACAAGATGTTTTTACAAGATATGAAATATTATAACAAAATCAATACATTACAAACAACAAAAGAAAATGAAAATGTAATTGTGTCGAGTGTGTGCGTGCATGTGTGCGCGTGTAAGAGTAAGCCTGGGCTTGTTTGTTCAGGGGATATTGGTTTATACAGCTGCATTAACTCCTAAGCAATAGTAATGCTACAAGTCCCTAAGAGTGAAGCAATTGTAAATATAATATAACAGCTAAAACAAGGAAGACATGAACAATGATAAAACAGCAATTAAATTGTCTTTTGTCACTTTTGACTGGGATAGATCACCATGGTAACTTATGCTGAACACCTAAACTTCTCTGGAGCAGGTGATGATTGAGATAAGAGATCAACTCGTATAAAAGCACCGCTTACTGATCAATCAAAGATTTGTATGTAAATCGTAAATTAATATTACACAAATACGAAGAAGTTGAAGTCATAATCCATACTAAAAGAAAGTTTAAACAGAAACATGCAAAATAGACAGCTGGCAATGAATCGTTGACTGTGTGAATGCATAAATTAACAGATTTATAACATCACGGTGTCATCTAGAGCATGATAGATATGACTATAATGTGTGTATTATATTATGTTAATCTGTTGCAGATTGATTCTTATGGCGTGTGTGACAATATTTTAGTCTTATTCTTTCATCTGTAAGCCCGGCCTTGTGAAACGAACTTGGGAGCAAATAAATAAGAATCACTATATATTCTCTCATCATATATTTATATCATGTATTCACTAATGTGTGTCAGCTTCTAGAGCTGTGTGTTGCAGTGTGACATGTTGGAGTCGTGTCTTACAGTTACAGACTGGATACAGCGTTACTTTGCTCTGGTTACTTTAATGTTTGCTCTGGGAGATTATGATTTATGGAAGGAAACCTTCTTACTGCTTTGAATATTGTTTTTATATTTATTTTATATTTGCTCCCAAGTCCTTTTCATACCGCTGGAGTGCAGCTGAAAGAAGAAGAATACATCTAAGCAACACATTAACTAATTAATGGAATACACACATGAAATTATAGTTAGATCTATTGTGCTCTATATGAAGCAGTGATATTGTAGATATGTTAATTTACACATTCACACAGTAGGCAATTTCTTGCCTGCTGTCCTTCCTGCATTTGGCAGTTTAAACTGTGTTACTTTTAGCCTGAATTATGTATTTAATTTCTTCGTATTTGTCTGATATTATAGTTTTCTCTTTGTTTGTAAAATGCGCCACTCTGCTGACAGCATACTTGTCCATGTTTGTGATTGGTCAGATGCTGCAATCCCGGCCTCTGTATGTGTACTAGCTCACAGCCAGATTGAGAAACCCTGGGTTGATTTACCGAGTTTTGTAGGACTGCTTAACGGGATCGCGGTTGTTAGGGTTAGTTAAGACAGATAACCAAAATCTTTGTGGTACAGGCCTCAAACCTATCGAGAATAGAATCAGATCTGGGTAGAATAGGACCATACCAATGACATGATCATAATCAATTGTATTAATATACACTGATATACTGTAGGCCTGTGTGTTGTTTTTTTTCTTCTTGGACAAAATAAAGCATGGTCAAATCTAGCATGCACAACAATGTAGGCTTGTAAAGTTAATGAAATTTTGCTTAATAGGCATTTTTGCAAGGATCATATTTTAAAAAATTCCACTTCATAGGTCTTTATTTCTCTCATTCAGAATGAGGACACAAAATTAATTTGGTTTGTTTTTGTTGCAATTTTTGTGAGGTTGAGCCACATTTTCTAGTATAATGTCTTGAATAGGATCATTATGCCCCTTGTTGCCTCCTGCATTGTGAGGCCTCATGCAGGCCAGTTTAAAATCCCTTCTGTTGGACACCCTGATTCTGAAAGACCCAGACAACGCTTAATGTTTTTGCCTGTGGCTCTACTGTGTCCTTTCACTCTGGCAAGTTTCAAGCTAAATCCCGTTTTCTCTACAGCGAACCCTGTTCTAATCATCCAATTATACTGCCCTTGTCTGTTTCAACACTTCTCCGGAATATTTTATCTAAATTTGATATGTGACATATTTGCATTAACCTTCTTGATGATATGCCTCATAATTCCTATAGTTGCACTATTCAAACTTGCATATACCCCAGTATCACCAGACAGTTTCACTAGTATCACTATAACCCAAATATTTATATTTATATTATCTAGATATTTAGATAACACACGCAGAGAACATTATATTTTAATACTGTTGGTGTGAGAAATACAGTTTTAATGAGTATAATGAATAATATCTCAACACAGTGGCATTAGGTGGAGGAAAGAAAATATCCAATGTCTCTTATCAAACATAAGAAGATATTAGGAGCCTATGGCAGGCATCAGTATAGCCAGTCCGGATGTTGACTGGTTGGTATGTGACAGCAGAATGATTGACTGATTGAGAAACATACTGTAAAGGTGCAGCCATAGAGGAAAAACACAAGAAGAATCGATCTTTTTGTAGTAATTTTGAGTGTTATCACATTGCTAAAAATAAGTCAATGTATAACCAGTCAGATGATTAGAAAATTTAGAAACAAACCTCAAAGTTAGCCAAAATAATTCGGAAGAGAAAACAAAGCGAACCAAAATATTATTACCGGTCTGCTTTAAACATCCACTCAAATTTTTTCAGATCCACTTCCGACTTCAACTTTGTACTCACTATAGTTGAACACACAGTTTCCTTGTGTAATGAAGGACTATTAGAATAATTTCACATCCACTCACTTTTTATTTGACCTCATAAATAAGTGGTTTGTGTTATCTGAATGAACTGATGGTTTGTCTGCTCGTGTTTCTGGAAGTGTTGGTCTTCTTTTGAGTGGTGTCTCGATTTCAGCAAATTATTTAGTAGCCATTGTTTTATAGGAAGATTATATCCTGCCTTAACAAATTTAGCAAGAACACAACTTTTCTCTTCTTTCAAGAGAGTATTTTTTACTTTTTCTTGGTGAGTGAAGTTACTGAGAGGGAATACGGGAAATATGTTAAGATACATTTTTGAGTTGCCTAACCTTAATTGCGTCTTAACCAAATATGAACCATGGAATTTGGAGACAGTCCTACCTTGGACCAGTCTCCAGTCTTCCATTCGTAACATTTGGAATGGTCCTCACAGGGCTCCTCTTGAATGGGCTGGGAAAGAGGATCACATACACCCTGAGGGTTTGTACACGACACAGTCCGTTTGTGAACACCTTGACCACAGTCTGATGAACACTGGAGGAAGTAATGAAACAACAATATGATGAGAAAAGTGGAAAACAGTAGCGTAAAGGAACAGGAAAAGGAAGCTAACAAGAATGTTTTATATAGCTTATTCTTCTGTCCCATACCTTGGCACTGGGTGACATATTTTTACTAGTTTTGACTTCATTGCCATAAACATGGACAATGTTGTCCAACTTATTGTTGGGCAAACATCACTGAGCATACTTATGTATTCATAATGCTTTGCTACTTTAAAAAGCTGAGACGAATAAACAACACTTGCTGCGTTTTTAACAGAGAAGGAATATGTCACCTTGTGGAATCTGACAAGAAAACAAGAGACAAAAACAGTTCTGCATACCCTAAAAGCAACAATTTTTTTTATTATTTAATTATTTAATTTTTTGTGAAACGTTGGATACAATTTGTAGAATAAGAACCATGGTTGATTCCGAAATGTTGGCCAGCTATGTAAAATCTCATATCTTGAAAACCAAAAAATATGCAACCTTGTTTGTACTTTAACAATCATAAACATAAAGGGCCATACAATATTTGCTGAGTCCATCCAAATCTAACATTTCTTCTAAACATGACTGACATGGCCAAAACTGATAAGGTTCCTATTTCCCCAAAGCATCCTAAGGCTAACCTTAAAATTCATCTTGAAAGGGGGTTTCCTGAAATCATCATAATCACTCTTAGAAATGATTGAAAATGAACCTGCTACCCTCTCTTAGAGGACTGGAACCTGTAGGAGGAACCAAACACTACATCTTTCAAGTTGTTATTGTTGTTGTTCACTGAATTGCATCTTATGGTATATTATGTTATCATATATCATAAATGTGAAAGGTAAGATGGAAAGTGAATGCCTCTAAATCTCTGTCATTGATCTCATCCAATTAGAAAATGTATTGCTTAACATTTTTAAGACGCTTATAATGGTGGGCGCGTGCAGTCTCTCTAAAGTGCTGCCTTAAGGGACATGTGAAATAATTTAAGAGCATCCATGGATACACTATTCACTTCTAAGATCAATAGTTAATAGGAAACAAGGCCCAGGACCAGTAATGCTTTTCACATGACATCAGCACAGTGTGTGTATGACGTACCTTGGACCACTCTGAAGCCTCCCATACAGTGAGGCAGAGGTGGCCTTCACAGTACTGCAGGACAGGAGGTTTTCCTCCTTGGCAATATGGGTCTCTGGTGTGGATGAGTGAGCCATTCTGTAGATGGTAAACACAAACCACCTCCCTTTGCTGAAGGCCTTTACCACATGAGATGGAGCAGGATCCCCACTCTCCCGTCAACCACCTGTGAAAAGCGCAAAGTGTTTACAGACAGTTCATAACCTACAGTCTATTTGCCTTGGATCTAAATGTTTTACTCTGAAACAGAGAGAAAAGTTGTCTATATACATTTTACCGGCTTAGTTTGGCCGTACTTTTAAAATAACTGGAATGTATGTAGAGCTAACATATGAAAAGCATAATAATAATAATCGTATTAACTCCTTGAAACTGACTTAAAAAAATTCAACACAAAAAACAAAACGGCCCCTTTGGTTTTATATATGGGACAACTAGAGATATACAGTATACTGATAATGCCACAAGTCTGTAAATAAGGGTAGTGTAAACTAGGACACAGATTTGGAGAGATTTCCACTCTGTCAAGCCTTCAGAACTTTTACAACACTCAAAATATTTATTTACGATAGGGTCAGGGATTCATATAGGCTCATATGAGGTGAGTGTGTGTGTGTTTGTCTCACCAGTACTGGCAGGGGTGAGAGTTGCAGAGTCGTACTTGGGGAAGTGGTCGATTCTCAGGATGACAATAGCTATCGTTGACCACCTCCATGGTTTTATTGGCTATTCTCATACAGGAAACAACTGTCCTCCTCTCACCTGCACGCACACACACACACACACACACACACACACACACAGTCTCATATTTTGATTGATAGACTTAAAAATAAGTCTATCAATTTGCATAATGGGCTGTTCCTGAAATTAATAGAAAAAGATGTAGGGGGAAAAAAACCTATGATATTAATAATACTGTGCTGTGAAAATTTGCACTGTGGAAACACTGCTTATTTTCTCATTGCACAGCTGTCTGACAGACAGCATTACACATTTTATGGCTGGGAATGTGTTTCATTTTAACTGAGCATCTTGGTGTTTGGAGCTATGCTACGCTAACCTGAGGACGCCATAGCATGGCAGGACACTACGTGCTTTTTAAAACTTTTCTCCTCAACCGTGGTCCGCTCCGGGCGGTCGGGGCCGGTGGGCTCCGGCGGAGGTGGGCTCCCGGCCCCGCTGCGAACCGGCCGCCGGCGAAATACAACTGGGGCGGCTCGACTGTCACTGGCGTCCATGAATCGAGATGGACTTCTTACTGGAACTGAAACGATGTAGGCTACTGGGATTAAACTCTTTGTCAACAAAGAAATCGGTAAGTGACAAACTGTGTTTGTTTTTTTACATCTGCAGTAACGTTTTTATGAATAATATACTGGGCCCTGACAGTTATTCTGGAATAGACTAGGATTACGGTCTTCTGGAAACGATCAGGGTGTCATGAAGATTTAAATAAATTGTTACTAGGCTCCACTGACATAGAACACATGCACTACTACACATATTCGGGAATAAAAATGACCTCTACAATAAATTTCAATCTGGATCTTAATGATCTCACAGACCAGGAATGAAGGGCTTTCTATGCTATAATTCTTGAAACAAAGATATACCAGTTATAATCTAAAACTAAATATTGAAATTTTTAATCAGACCAATTTAACTGTTTGGTTGTGAAGTGTTGAGTCCTCTGGTGAAAGAAGATTTTGAAAAATGGGACAAACACTCAATGAAACCCTACTCACTGAGATTTGCAAGAGTATTCTCAGAGTTGACAGAAACAGTAATGGTTGCCGAGCTGAATTAGGCTAATTTCCCCATTTAGTTTAGATAGAAAAATAGCAAGAAACCACTTAAAAACAAGTGAGCACGACCATTACCATACATAGCGAGAATCCACCTCGGCCAGCTGGTCCTGATGTTCAGGACAGCCCTCCCACAATCTGAACCAACCAAATCATAGCTAAAGAAAAAGTAAGTTATATTAACTATTGGAAATCTAACAGAAAACTCAAAACAAACCTTTATGCTACTTGGCTCTAAACAGAGAGTACACAGTAGGAAACTATCTGACCGCAGTGACTGATCCAAAACTGAGGAAGACATTAGCTTTGTTTAGCTCGACTTAATGATGTCCAGACAGGCTGTCATCAACATTTCTTGCTACAATGTAGCATGTGACATTAGGACAAATAATTCAATGTAACCTCCAAGATCTTGTATCCACTCTCTGACCAGACTAATATCAAACATCTACTTGAAGAAAATAGTGTCAGCGCCATAGAAGCAGCAAGATATGCCAGTGCATTAATATATTGTTGTAAATTGTTTCTTTATTGACTCCTAAACAAGAAAGAATTAATTACTTGTACAGTACATACAGTAGACCTATGAGACACATACATACAGATTAGATTCAGTTGGAGTCAGAGGGAAGCCTGCTATGTGTAATGTACTATGCCGCTGATTACTAGCTTTGGGCACCAAGCTCACTTTAGCTCTGTCCGATACAAAGCGGCCATATTTGAGGGATGAATACATCGCTGTGTTTTTAAGTGCATGTGCTCTAGTATTCCCCCTGCTCCTCTTTGTCTTTTATGCTGTGTGCAGAGTAAACAAGAGCAGCGCTGAGCCACAGACACAGCCGACATGAGGAAGCCTGCCCTACCCGACTGCATTCATTCAGAATCCGGCAACACGGAACCATCCCGCAGGGTTGTATGTAGGTGCACTGAGGTGTCGGTGTCTGCTTTTGAATATAACTGCCGTAAAATAATCCGAAAATAACGTTATATTTCTCTGATTCACTGCTATGTTCTCACTAACTTCGCTCCCTCTCTTCATTCACTTTAAAGCTCACTTGACAGCGTTGAATGTTGTGTGTTGACAAACAGCAACCGACGAATAAAACACAATTTTATCGTTATGATTTAAGAAGGTCAGATTAAGAAAACTTCTACCCACTGAGCTGTACAGTATTTATGAAATCCAACATCAAATACAAAGGTAGCAATGTTTCCATTCAAAAGTGAATTTCAAGAAAACTTTTTAAATGTTGCATTAAAGGAATACGAATCAAAGGTGTTTCCATCAACTGGTTTGGAGTGAATGAACTGGGCTACAGTGTAGTTTGGTCAGAAGTTGGCGCTAAAGGCTTGCATTGCTGTGATCCTTCAGTAAACAGTAGGAGTAGAGGTTGCGAACACGAAACAAAACAAGTCAGCTTGGCCATTGTTAAGAGATTGTAGAAAAATATGAAAGCATAAAAGTATAACCATCACAACATATAGCTTGTTTACTTTTTATAACCATCATAATATAAATTGCTTTATTTCATGTTAGAAGTGATTTAACATATAAACTGCTTAGACACTTTATGTAACATAGTCACTTGAGCCTTATATAGTGCTTCTGGTTCTAACAGGATCAAACCAGTTATATTCTGTTGCAGACCTAAGAGCAGGAGGAACCATGTGTGAGTGACGCATGAACCTGAAGGAGGTGCCAGCCTTAGATCAGCATAAAAAGAGCCAGCAGAGCAAAAATGGCTTTTTCCCCCATCTCTAGAGGCTGGGATAGACTTCTTTAATAGACCCTTAGGGGTCTTAACCCCTCAGAGGTGGAATAGAAGACCCTTCTGCTGTCTTACCCACTCAGAGGTGGCATAGAAGACCCTTTGTGCGTTATCAGAAGACCGCATGAAAAAAATGAAAAAAACTCACAGTGAGAGCTGACTGAGAGAGCCTGAACAGCAGGATTGTCAGCATCCGCATTTGTAGCACTGAGACTGTTTCATTGAATTGAAATTGTTGTATGTGATTGTTGTGAGAAAATTTTAATAAAACCAAGGCCTTACCATTTGTTAGTGGCTGAAACCAAACACTGTTTTTTTTTAACAATTTACCCCTCTTCCCCTGTCCGTTAACCGTGCGATACAGACGTGACGACAGAATCTACCAGAGGAGCTTAAGGTAAGTTCCCTGCGTGAAGACTTGGCAGTGTTAGCCATAAATGGTGAGATGTTCACAATAGGCGATAGTAAAATATAGACGATGTACATAACTATTCATACTGGGTGTTAGGGTTACATCCTACTGAGAGCGCCTAGGGCTTAGCCATACAAGACTTTCAGAAAGACAATAATTCCGGAATCCTAACGACTCAGCTACGGGGTGAAATAAAAGGCCGAAGGTATTGTTCCGACACCTCCACGAGGAACCTGATCCTCGCAGGTGGACAGCTACCTAACACCACCGTATTAGGTGCGCAAGTCTGCCCCGCTTTTCCCGGGGCAGGATCCGTTCACGCTACACCATCTACCCGTATCGAACTCATCTGAGAGAAAGATGGAGAGTGGTCCTCAGGAATTAGATTCAATTGGGCAAGTTTAATAGTATTGGCCATGTTTCATGCTGTCTGGAGGCAAAGATAAGCATTCTCACATTATGGGACTATTCAAGAACACGCCAACACACAGCTGATCAGTCATGTGAGTTAAATGTTCGTTATGTCAGAATTTATTCTACAAAGGCATTTCCATAATTCATTTGGCACATAAACTTTTAATATCTTGGCTTTTTTTTGTACATCATTATTACAAAACAAATTTCCCTCTTGGATATTAAAGAGATCTTGACTCTCAGGGCTAGTAACCAGCATTTATGCAAAGATTGTCATTGCTGTAACCATACATGATTTTAGTGTTGTGTGTGTGTGTGAGTGTGTGTGTTACCTCCTCCACATTTGACAGTACAGTCCTGCCAGCTGCTGTGTGTCCAGATGTAGAGATGCTCGTCACTGTGCTGAGTTGTGTTCAGAGACACTGTGTACTCATAGTGGATCCCATAGCTCTGGTCATGAAAGAGCAGCACCTAGGGGCACGACAGAAGGGTTAAAGAAAAGGTCAGCCTTGCGTAAAGCTTATCAACCTTCACTCCGTTTATCTGCCTTTCATCTTCATTTGCAGAACTAAATTTCAAACTTAAGCAGTAGGTAATAGTAAGCAAACACGACCAAATGTACAGTAGATTGTACCTATTAAACAGTATATCAACACAACTATCATGTTTAATAGGGGACCTGGTCGGTCTGTGCCGTACTAAGCCAAGCGGCAATGACTGGTTTTCACTACTACCTCACAGCAGGGGATAACCACACTGCAGTGGTTTTTATTGCTTCGACCTCAATCTCTGTGATTTGTGATAGTCTAGCGACCTGTCCAGGGAGTACCCTGCCTTTGCCCAAATGTGAGCTGGGATCAGCTTCAATCCCCACGAGACCCTGAATAGGATAAGTGTTTGCAGATAATAAACGGATGGATTGGCAGTTAAATTGGTGAAATCATACCTTACTAACCGGTCTCAATCAGAGTTCATTAATAATCATCAATCAAAGTAATTGAAGTTGGCTTCTTGTGTCCCGCAACTATCCATTCTTGGTTCACTCCTGTTCAGTCTTTACATTAACAGTCTTTCATTCGTTTGTCTGAACATTGAAGCCCTAATGTATGCGGATGAATATTTTATGGAAGAACCAAAGCAGGTGTTGTGAGTTTTCAAGCGAGTGGAATATAATTAAAATTCACATCAGACAACTAAACACTTTAAGTAACAGTAGATCTTTCAGTAACCAATAAAACAATGGCTGATACATACAAGTCAGCACTAAACTATCGTTTTGTTGCCGCTATTTATAGGTCCTGCTTGACTGAAATGGCAGTTTAAATATATTTTAGACAGCCTTTTTAAACTACATGCCCTGTGTTTGTTTCTGTTTTTGATGTATTTTAGGAAGCCTTTTGTAAAACCTTGGCCAGTGACTACATTACATTACAGTCATTTAGCAGACGCTTTTATCCAAAGCGACTTTCAGATTCTATCCCCCGTAGCCTACACAGCTACGGGAGAAATTTTGGGGTGTCTTGCTCAAGGACACATCGACATGTGACTAGCGGAGCTTGGGATCGAACCGCCGATCCTCTGATTGAAGGACGGCCCTGCTCTCCACTTACCCACAGTCGCCCTACTATGAAAAACAGCCTTTTGGCTAATTTTGCCATTTTCTTATGCCAACACTAGTCAACAGGGGTTTTACAAAGGTATTACAATATTAGTCAGGAAAATGTATTACATTATTTGTCAAGTTATTAAATTATTGGGTTTTATAACATTTTCTATCAAGTTGGGTGTGATTTTTATTAACTTTTTAGGATATATTATTGGGTGCTAACCTCTAAAATCCTGTATCATTTGGGCTGTTATCATTGCCTGATCAGACAATTAATCAGACAGAATTCAACTCTTAGATTAGATTGTCTCAAACATAATGCAAACTGCAAGGATAGGAAGACGGCTGGAATGGCTGCTCTTACAGACATCTTTGTATAGAATGAACATGTCTTGCCCAACGACACATCGACATGCGACTAGACGACCCTTTTCTCCATAGTGCCACAGTCGACCCCTATAGTGATCTGGTTAGTAGGGATTACAGAATCAACACAGAATGTCATCATTTGAATGCTTGCTCATAGAGACTAATGCTTGAATCGAGGAACAGTTCCCATGTGGTGCAGTAAAACAACCCTGTAGGGCCTCAATGCTTGATGGAGTTAATGTTTGAATGTCCTGTTTCACCACAGCGATGTAGACTGGTGCAAGTAAAATGATGCTATGGTCAGCTGATCCAAGTGGAGGGAGTGACATGTACAGTAGGTACAGGAACTGGGCCATAACACTTATCTAAGGTCTTATGCATGCGTGTGGCACAGGTCACATACTGGTGGTAGTTTTTTAATGATTTGTACATAGAGAAGTGATTAAAGTCTTCTAGGATGAATTTGGGGTGAATCTGGTGAGATGGAATCCAGTTTGTGCAATTTGTTGGCTAACGCTTCAGTGACTTTGTCAACATTTGCACATGGATGAATGTAAACAACTATATGAAATAGCTGGGGAAATTCATGTGGAAATATATGTGGCAAGAGGAAGAGAGCAAGGAGTACAATGTATTGCACCAGCCTTTGTTGAACTAGATTCACACTTCACCAACCACCCTCTTTTCCTGTTCTCTATTTATCTCGATCCACATGACATGGTGAGGGAAAGCCATCAAAAGCAGACTCATTGTTACTCACTACATCGTCCAGCCAAGTTTCAGTAAATACCAGCATTCCTGTATTCAAGTTTATATTGGCTTGAAGTTCATGAAGTTTATTTCTGGTAATACGGACATTTCCTACTATCACAGCGGTCAGTGGAGAGGACTTTTTGCGTCTCATCCCTCCTTGTTTTCCCCACTTACGTCTGCCTTTTCTCTTGTGGGGGGTTCTTTCTCCATGATAATTTGTAGAGATCGCTGGTGAATGCAGTATCTCTGCTAGTATATTCCACACTTGGTCAATAGCACCTGCCGATGGACGCAGCATAAGGAGGAACTTCTTAGACTCCTTTGCCAAAGGGGTTGAGCAGTTGATCAGATCTCCATCCGCACAAAGCATTGGTTCCCACAGCTAGGAGGAACAGCACAAGCATGATAAACTTGCTGAGATAAAAACATTTTAATGTCATCATGTATATATAAAGGCTTGTGCTCGTTTGTTCGTATAATGTTGGGATAGCAGTTTGGCTGAAGTATTTTCGCCCCGGTAAGACATACCTTGAATCCAGTGTTTTAATCATTGCTCTGAACCCGTCTTTCTCGACTGTCTGTCCTTGCATAGCTGGATCGTTATTGTGTTCGTAATGTCGCTCCATCTTGTCATATGCTGAGGCAAATGCCTCTTCAAGCGATGTCTGACCCTTTGGCTTCACTGTTTCACTCGCGGCAACGTTACTGGTTGACGGCCGTAATCACACTCTTGGTATTCCAACACGTTTTCTGCTGAGGTGATGGAGTAAGTTGCTCGTGTTACCACCAGCAGCAACAAAAGTGGCTCAACAAACTTTGCAATATATAATCTTTTGGACGTCGGATTTTTCAAAACCAAAGCACTTCCAAAACAGCAGACCCAGCTCCTCTCTTGGGCACAGACTCTATTGGTGCATCTCCGGTCTGTCTTTGTTCATCCTGCATTGCTCCTTTCTGTTCTTTAATGTAATGTTACTATAGCGACGGAGCCTCTCGCTGGTAACAGACTGTTGTGCTACCGGGCTAGCTAGTGAGCTGTACCCAGCATGCCGTTCGGCGGTGTAATTTTATAAATGTACAATTATTAGTGTTACAAATTGTTTATGTGTCACAAACTGTTGTGTCGTGGTGTTTTGCCCTGTTAAAGAGCGTTAGTTGTGGGTTATTAATTGTTGTGTTATAAAGTTACAACCATGATTAGAGGTCCCTCTCAATACACTTAAGACAACTAGCTCCGACCGCAGCGCCCTTAGCGGCGAACAATATATTTTGCTGCCTGTTGAAGAGTGACAGCAGTTGTTTCGGCTATGCACCGGTATGGCGGTGTGTGAAAAATTTATATCATACGGGAAATTAAAACCAGTATACCGCCCAGCACTATGATACACGTTACCAAAGCACTTAAAAACACAAAAACCAGAGCACAGCACACACATGCCAAGGTGCTCCGCACAACAGCGCACCTGCATACCAATTATGTATTATACGCGCCGATGTGATTTCATCCTGCATTTGACCCATCCATATGAGTCAGTAATGTAGAGTAATATTGAGCTTCATGATCAAAGAAAGAGATTTGTATCTACACATCTGTCTATACCCCCCCCCCCCCCTCTTAACGAAATTGTTGAAAAGTTACCTTTTGATGACGGCAAATCAATGTCAGCATCCGCAAGCACAAGTGAAATCCACGCATGTGTAGAGGTCCCGCACACGCAACTTAAACAGTCCGCGCAGAATATCTCTGCTGTGCTTTGAGCATGAGGAGCATCTCCTGGGGTGCGAACTCTATCACTGCTCTTCTGCTCACAAAACTTTCACCAGCTGAGAACAAGTGTTTTTCCTTTTGCCAGTAAGTGGGCAGACCCAGTCACCATCGTATCACACTACCCCGACTCCTCCCTCCAATCCCCTAAATGTACTTAGTTTGAAAACCTTCTCCTGCGACATGCACCCTGAGGAATACAAACTGCTCCAGTCAGGTAAGCCTGTTGCCAATGGTAGTTGCATTTGTACCATTTTACCTGAGTTTGATCCTGTTACCAGTCTGATCTATGTGGGAGGATGCCTAAGAGGAGGTAAAGACCTTGAGCTCTGTACCATATATCCTGTAGTGTTAGATCCTAAGCAACCCATTACTCTTCTCATCAGAGAATATGATCAGAAGCTTCTCCATCCTGGCCCCGAGAGTGTTCGCTGGGGTCCGCCGGCATGACTGGCTCCTTGGGAGACAACAAGCCTTCTTGTCTAGACTGCAGGAAACTTCATTAGAAGATTTACCCCCTTCACGACTCTGCCTATTTAAGCCAGACTTCTTTTCCACCATCAAAACTGCTCTGCGTGTAGCTCTCAGAGGTGAAACTGACACAGACAGGGTACTAAGGACATAGAGCTAGACATAGACCACTTATAGAGGTGGAGGAAGTAATAAATGCTAAGCCCCTTGGATATGTGTCCTCTGACATTTTTTACCCTGATCCAGTCACCCCTAATCACCTTTTCAAGGGGAGGCTGGACCCATCCCTTCCGCAAGCCATATTCAGAGACATTGATCTCCTGTCCAACCGTAGATGGTGCCACAGTCAAGTTCTGGCAGACCACATCTAGACTCAGTACATAAAATAATACCTCTCTATTCTTCCGCCAAGGCAAAAATGATTCACTGACACCCCAAACCTTGTTATATCCAGAGTCGTCATGGTAATGGACCCACAGCTGCCACAACCCCTATAGGAAGGGTCCAACGCCTCCTACCTGGTCCAGATGGTCAACAATGAAGGGAGGACCTATAAGCGCCTTGTTTGTAAGCTGATTGCCTTACCTGCAATCCCGAAGGAGGGCTATAACACTCCCTGACGCTCCTCACAAGAGTCAAATATGAATATCATATTTAAGGGGCAGCTATTGTGAAGAACAGGTCTGGAGGCAGAACTGTCTGAGGAGGATCAGGAAGTGTGAGGGGTCTGGCTTGATTCAAGCTTGATTGTCAGAGTAAATAGTTTCTTTTGATTGCAGTACCTTTAGGAATTTGTTAAGTTAAAATGATGAACATTGTGTTAATTCTTGTCTGTTAAGGAGTCACCAGATATTTGCTTCCTTTGTATTACATTTGTGAAAATACAGCATAGATTCATCTGCCCTGCCCCTGTCTACAATGAATCACAGTTAAAGTGGATTCTCTTGGTGTATCATTGTGCCTGACCGCACGTCCATAGTGTATGTCAAAGGACCTGGTAATCAGCACACCCTCATGCAGTCCTGAATGGTGAATAAACTACAGTAGTGTTTTTGTTACCTTAGATTGATCCGTTCTCCAGCACACTTGTAAAGCAGTGGTCAGAGGTGGCGTATTAAGTTGGTTCATTCTGCAACCTCACCACTAGATGCCAGCAAATCCTACACACTACTGCTTTAAAGGTAAATATTATCAAATTGTTAAGATCTACATACAGACTGACAAATGTGACATATCATGTGACAAATAAATAATCACAAAAGCATTAGCGCCACCAGCAGGATGTTTCAGTTCTGACATTATATCCTGGGTGTATTGTGATACAACAGAGAAACGTATGTTTACCATCAAGTGCAAGGGTGTCTTAGTGGGTCCCTTGGCAGACATCTTCTCCCACAGTCCCCTTCTAACATAGCGTACCGTGGTTCCAGCCAGCTCAAACTCTCCTGGAAGCTCGATCTTCCAGTCGCTGTTGATGGACCTCTTGCTGGAGTCTTTCAGAGCTGTGAGGAGATATAAGGTCAGATGTAACAATTTCAAACTTTGTTTTATGAGGGAAAATAAACATCCATTCTGCCCATGTATGACTAATTCAGACTAAATGTATGTCACAGATTAATACCTGTATGTCCTTGTCCACCAGACACGAATGTGTGCACAGTACATTTTCTATTATTTATGGTAATTTCAGTTCATGAAAACTTATGTTTATGATGGAATCAACATGGCAAACACTGACAACTACTTGGTGATATTTTATCATATTTCTTTACTTTATTTCATTAATTTACAAGGTCACAGCTGGGGGAGTGGATACTCTTGAGTGGGGGCTGTCTCTTCGGAAGCTCTGATAATGCAGAGTCTACAAAAGATAGCTTCATGAAGACACGTGCGATTGGATGTTTTATGATATCGTTCGGGTTGGAATGGATGTATGTGAGGTAAGCGGGGAGGAACAGCGGCCGAGAACCTTAATGATATGGTCAGGGTCTGTTGAAGATGGTTGCTGAAAACCATGGGACTACAGTCAAAGGATGGTCGGAGGCTGGTGCCAAAAGTCAGAATTTCTTGTACAAGGTAGGGCTGCACGATTATGGCCAAAATCATAATCACGATTATTTTGATCAATATTGAGATCACGATTATTTATCACGATTATTCATTAATTTTAGGGACATCTTTTTATTGCACTTTCACGTTTAAACGAACAAGAACACTGCTTCCACTTCCATTGTTGTGCTACATTCTGGCTAATGTACAAATCTTTGCATCACACTGGTCCTTATCACAGTGCATCTCGTAGAAGGAAAATATAAATAAAATAGTATCAACATTTTTTACCCAAAATTAAATCAACAGAGCACTGCTTTCACTTCCATGTTGTGCTACATTCCAGCTAATGTACACGTGTTTGCATCAAAATAAAACTTATACGGTTCTTATTCACATGAAGCAAAATATAAATGACCGTCTGCTCTCTGTTCTGTTGTCTGTCTCTCTACTCTTCTACTAATACCGGAGTCGACTGCAGACAGAACTTTTTTTGAGGCTGCCGCTGCAGGGTGCGTGCATGACACCTCCCATCTCGTTCGCCCCCTGGTGGTTGGCTGACTGTTAGTTGAGGAAGCGCTTGATTTGATGTGTAGCAGAGCACGCATTTTAAACGTCAATATCGCTGACGATCATGCTCATTTAATTGTGGCAGTCAAAATTGTGATCGCGATTAAAATTCGATTAATTGTGCAGCCCTAGTACAAGGAACGGGAAAGTTGAGTCGACAATCGAGTTTTGTGACCTGGGATGTGGGAGGCTCGGATGCGGAACTGGTGCTGAGCCAAAACCAAAGTGAGCCTCCGCCTGAACTGCAGTATATTGAGAAGATGAGACCTACGACGGCGCTGTTGTCTGTTTAGATTGCGATGGTCTTTGGACCATTCTTGCCCCCAAAGAATAGCTAATATGACTGTAGTGACTGATTCCTGTAACTAGCCACTCGGCTGGGTGCGGGAGAAGATCTTGTTCTCGCACTCGCTTCGACATAAAGATTCCAGGCTTTTCGTGTCTTTGGGTGAGGTTCCCATTTAATTAGAGTTCACAATTGATATTTCAACTTGATATTACTTAGCTTCCTGGTCTTCCTCTGGTGTGTCTGGTTTTGCGGTAAAAACCGTGCGATCTCCCTGTCACCCATGCCTCATTACCTGTCAGTTGCACCTGTGCCCCATATATTAACTACCTGCCGCAATACTCCACACTGCCACCCATGGTCAACCTGAGATAGGCTCCTAATTCAAACATATAATACACAGACCTAACTTATAGCTCCTACAATGACTATGGGATACATTTCTGAGATCGTGGAAGAAGTGGTGAGTTGTGAGAATTTGGGCGGGCTTTCGGCTGAGAACCTCTTGCCGCCGCAGAAGCCGCCAAAGCTGATGGAGGGTGCTGCTTCTGTGAATAGCTGGATGTCTTCTAGTTTGGTGATATGGTCGTCATAAAATAAGGAGGTACCATTCCAAGAGGAGAGGTATTGGTGCCACGATTTCAGCTCCGTTTGCATGCTTCGTCGAGTGTGACGTGGTCGTGGATATTTGGAACAGAAGCAGCAACTGACAGGAGGTGTGACGAGGAGGATAAACCTACCCGGATGATGTGGATGGCGTAGTTCAGTGCATTTTAGGGCCAGGAGAAAACTTGAGATGAGAATTAGATCTGATGGGTTTTCTCGGTATGTAGGGATGCTTGGAGTGAGACGGAGTCGAGGATGATGCCAAGGATTTCCAAGGACGTGCTAGGACCTATTTTAAATTTAATTTAATTATTTATTTATTTTTATGATGAAAGAGGAAAGTCAGAGTGTGTATACCGCGTGCTGGAGTTGAGGAAGGTAGCGTGAAAGTGAAGAAGCCGCCTTAGAGAAATGATGTACGCAAGTTTATGGATGTTTGTCAGGAACCAGCATAGTGCAGAATAAGTGATGGGACATTTTCGGGCTGCTCTTGCACCCGAAAGACAGACGCACGGCAGAGTAATATGCACCCTTCCATAAGACTCTTTTCCCCTGAATATATACTAGCAGCTATGCCGATTGGACTGATTAAGAATAGTGGAAAGGTGGGCTAATGAGTGGACCGATCATGAATGCGCCGTGGACTTACTGGGCCAGTAGTTTATCGACTGTGTTAGGCTCTGAGATGGCTGATTGCAAATGTTGATGTGTGTAGGAGGATTCTGGCTTAACCTGCAAACCTAGGTAGAAGCCATATGTGAAAACTGTATGAGGAAGCTAACGAGCTGGCGGTCTGCGTGGTTCTTTAAGGCGGAAGCCAGAGCGTAAACCTGAATTGGATTATTGAGATACTTGCAAGGGGTGTGCTTGGTAGGATTGTGGGGACAGGTCTGCCGTGGGCCCGTTCGCAGAAGGTATGGAGGAATCGCCAGCTAGAGTTCCATCCAAGGTCGTCTGAGTCATTGCAAACTATCCTATCTCTCCTATCATACGCCTTTGGGGAGTGGGCTGAAGGTGGTTGGCTGGGTGGTAGCTGGTTTGGGGACGATGGATGGTGGGGGGAGAGTAGAAGCAGGAAACGATGGGGCTTTGTTTACGATGAGCTGTGGTAAAAGGCAGGGGGGTTGGGAGGTTGCCTGTGGTGGCCAGATGGGATGGTGCGTCCCAAAGCTCAAAATTCAGGGAATAGCAACTGCAGAAACCCGATGATATAACTTGGGGTCTAGTGTTCCCCAGTATGTTCCCTGATTGGACTGCTGCAAGCGACTAGCAGCTTCAAAGCAGAAAAAGGAGGAAACAACGGATTTTGGCCAATGACTCCATCGTGGATCGCTGTTGTTGGAGCAGTCTGTGCAGTCGAGGTGGGAGGGGCAGAGTTGGCCGAGGTGGGTGGGACATAAAAGGCAGAAGCAAGAGAACAGGAAAGGATGCTGGGATAGAGGGATGAATGTGCATGGGTTGATAGTGAAGTCTCAGGGAAAGAAATTACAAGGTGAGATGTCTCTGGGACAGAGGGAGCTTGAAGAGGGTGGGATACGACCTGGCCTTCTGAAAGGACTGATGTGGATGACTGGGCTTCTCCGGCCGTGGCATGACGTCATCGGCGCTGCGGCTGACGTGACCCGGAAGTGCTCTAGAGGCTCGGAGAGAGAGAGTGGTGTTGTGCTGTGAGTCCTTGAACAGTTTGGAAAGTTTTGCTTTTTTATCGGACTGATGGAAAGGGATGTTGCGCTGGATGATTGTGATCAGTCGAGAGACTGTCCACTCAGAAATCTGGGATATGTAGAGGCTGTTGGAGCATCGGCATGATGAAAGAGGAGGCGGTGGTTTTGCCTGTCGTTTGAGGGTCAGTTGTGCTTAAATACTTTGTGCGGAGGAAATGAGATTCGGTTCGGGGTGTGGTCCTTGTTCTTATAACAAGGACCACATCCTTATAACATAGGCATCCGCCATCATCCGCCATCATGCATGATGGCGGATGCTGGCAAAACTCTTGGCTGCCGCTCCGTACTTGATTGTTAATTTTTGTTAAATTTTGCTGTTTAAATGGATCCCAACGCTAAAAACCTG